ATAGATTTGCGAACACGGCTCAGCAACATGCAAGCGCAATACACAGCGCACGAAAGTACGATAGGTTGGTTTGTCGCATTTTTTCGCCTTTCGACTTGTCTTTTCTGGTCTGATACCCCAAATGGTGCAGAATTAATAATCAGGCTTTCAACTGACCTTTTGCAATTTTCCTCGCTGTTGACTAGAAGTGAAACTTCTGTTAAGTGAAGAAGTGTAGTCGTTTTCCTGCTCAACAGCTTATTCATTAAAGTGCTACAGGAATGACTCCTGAACGACTACAGAAAGAATGTCAACAACTTAAAAACCGAACTCAGTATTTGGAATGTCAGCTAGATGAAATGAAGGCAAAATTGGCCGAAGCAGAGAGTGTAGCAATGAAGAAGAGTGACGAAAATGAACGGTATGGCTTTGCTTTTGCAGAATTACATTGATTTTTATGTGATACCTTCATCGGTATCAAGTTTGTTAGTGAAACCTTTTATTTCAGGATGGAGTCTCACAGCAACGTGCTTGAATCAAATATCAAACAAATGGCAGAGCTCGGATCTATGGAGCGTGAACGTTTAGAAACTAGAGCGAGCAGTGCGGAGGCGTAAGTGCTACGCATTCCTTCCTGCCTATGAAATGAATGTATGCTTTATTATTTAGACGTTCCGAGGAGCTAAGTGTCAAAGTAGCGCAGTTGTTAACGACTATCAACCGCTTAGAAACGGAGATTAGTGACATGAAAATGCAGCAGCTAGAGGTTTATGAGTAGTTGTCTTTACAAAAATACACATATTTTTATTTCAGCGTTCGACTGAGCTTCAACTAAGGATAGATATCCTTGAAGCTCAAAAGAGAGACGCGGATGAGTCGATTAAACACCTCAATGACTCTTTAAATTTGTCCCTTACCGAATCGGAGAGGAGATTGAATGAAAGGAATCAAGTATGTGGAAATGTTTCCATGCAATGAGTCACTGACCTTTTGTCTTATTCAGTTAACTGACCAAGTCAACGAACTCAAAGCGCAGTTGTCAGAAAGAGAAGGAGACCTTATGTTGCGAGACGCGAAATTAGAGTCGAAACAAAAAGAGCTCATTAGTGCTTGCGAAGCTTCAAGAGTTGTGAGTAATTTATGTCTTTCGTCGTTGTCGTATTATTATACAATATATGTTGTAACTTTAATGTTTTGGATTACGTTATTAGGGGCGATGTTTCTGCAAAGTCTTCAACCTTGTAATTTTTATCACATCTTTCTCGCAACCTCTGTTACTTCGATTAGAATCAATTGAATATATGCAAAATATATGTTGTGTGGCTGTAGCAACCATAGCTGATACTTTAGCAATGCTCTGTTTAAGCGCAGCATCACATTTGACTACCTGTTCTTTTCGAAATCTAACCTGAGTACTTTTGGAACTTTACTTTTTCTTCTTTTTGAAGAATTAAAGTTGCAATTCGACCTTAGTTTAATAAATTCATTTGTAGGCGGAGGAGAATCTTCAGCATGCTGAGCAGATGCTAGCTGCACGTTCAAGTGAAGTTGCAGCTATCGAAGCTCGTTTGAATGAGGTTGTAAAGCAGTACGAAGAGAAGATGGAGCAGATTCTGGAGAAATATGAAAATGTATGTCTCAGACTTAAATTTTTGTTTCTATTAGCCTACTATAGTGTTTTCCTAGGTGGTAGCTCAAGTTAATGAGAATGCAGCTACATCTGAAGGTGGAAAGTCTGCCGATCTGACAGCTAATCCAGATTCAGCAGGATCTGTTATAGAATCACTGCAAAGCGTTGTTAGGTTTTTGCGTGAAGAGAAGCAAACGGTATGTCATTGAGTTTAGAAGATGGAGAATCTTCTTATTTCCCTTCCGCTTCTATATATGCTATAGGCCGTATCACGTTCGATGACTGCCGAAGTAGAAGTGAGGAGGCTTCGCGCGGAAGTTGATGAAATGCGATCTAATCGTGATGACCTTAGTGCGACAGTTCGCCGATTACAGTCGGAAGTTGTTGCAAATGCAAATGCACTAGCTGAAAAGGCACAACTGGTATAAGCTGGTCTATGTTCCGTTCTCATTTGGGTTATACAAAAGTATGGGTTATAGGCCGAACGTTTGGAAACGATGGCTGTGGTTCAGAGGCAGAATACGATGTACAGGTGTGAAAATGAGAAGTTGCACAAAGTTTCTACGGAATTATCAAAACAGGTGGGTAAATTTTTCAACCTTGACTTTTTCACGTTTATCATTTTTTAGGTTCAAATTTAGGGATAGGTCGAATCTA